CGCCCATACATGTCTCGGTAGCACTGTTCATTTTGTTCATTTTTCACTTCATTCGTTACAGTTTCTATTTTTATTTAATTAGTTTTTTTGTTGTTGTAATTTTCTTTCATACAATAAAATATCTATGACAACATTATACAGTATATAGAGTATCGGCAATCACTTATACCGACGTAGGTATTTCTTTTCACAGTATTTTTAATTAAAAGTTACGTGAATATAAGGATACATCCTCTCTTATTCACGACGTCACTTTATTTATATTTATGTCAGGCTATATTATTTCAAATGTTTTTTCATAATTTAAATAATTTAAATTGAAATTCTCTTTTGATGAATCCAGCTGATTTATAATTTTAAGTGCAACGACTTTAGCTTTTCTTATATTATTAAATATCTGAATTTCAGCAATTTTCATTTATTAATTTGTGTAATAAATTTATTTGGTCATTTTGAATATTTTTCTACATTAGAAGATTTTGTAATACCGTCGAAGGCCTTTAAAGAACTTATTATTTCTATTCTTAGACATTAAAAGCTTTTGCGCCCAAATTGAATTTGAAATTTTCACTTTAATGCATCGAACGATATATTAGATCAATGTTTTTTTTTTTTACCTAAACGTTCAAAATTAAGAAATAGCCCATAATTATTCATTAATTCTTTAATTCTTAACTTACTTAATAATATGTATACCGTAATAATACGCAAAACCCTTTGCTCCGTTTCATGATTGCACAAAATACATACATACATACATACATACATACACACATACATACATAAATACGTACATATATTACATATATATGTATATATGTATATATATATATATATATATATATATATATATATATATATATATATATATATATATAAGTCTACTCTAATTCATAATATTTATAATAATCAACTCTTATTCTGGTGTCCAGTCTTAACGTGTGAATATCCGCATTTTTTGTGTTTTCCCTCTTTCACTGCAATATTACATCGATACTCGACTCGAAACATGTATAAAGAAGCCGAATTGTTGATTTGACCGTTTCGATTAAACGATTATTCGTACAATTAAATATAGATTGATTAAAATACGACAGTGTTTTGGCATCGAACATTGAAAATCGACTTTTCTCCTCAGTTTTTTTTTCTTCCTTTTTTTCTTTCTTCCTTTTTGTCTCTACTTATAAATACGTATGATTTAGATTTAGAAAATAGTAAATCAATGATTTAGTACGTGAGAATTTCAGTATATTATGTTCTTGCTTAGTCAGTTGAACGCATGTATAATTAATATTAATTAGCGCGCAAAATGAAAACACCTCTATTTCAACTTTCAGCTATTTCAGCTTTCGAAGCAGTGCTTTTCCCTTTGAAATTACCAAATAACTGCGCATAATTGAGTATTACAAGATCATAATATTATTAAAATATAAGCGTTGTCGGTAATACTGGGTATGAGTATTTATTTAAAAACCTTAATTACAAATAATATGAATGCTTATATTTCAAAGTTTTCAAAAGACACCGTTTCGAACATTTACACCTTGCATTTTTACCTTTTTTTTTTTTTTAACGAGGAAACGTAAACAAATTGATTATACGCATGTAGCAACAAATAAATAGAGAATTAAATAAATAAATAAATAAATAAATAGATATATAAATTCATTAATTAATGATAGCATATATAGATACGAGTCCTGAAAGAAATTTACAGATTAAAAAAATATTGAGATTCTAGTTTGGTAACGACGGCAATATCTCAAATACTATTATCTTTGCTTTACAGCAAATTTCAAAAAATACAGTTACTCCTCTCGTTAGCTGTTGTAAAATTCAATTATCTACGATTCGCTCTTACTTACTTACTTACATACGACGCAACGCACATTGGTACATTAATTACAATAGTCGGCGATATAATAGGCCAATCGATATTGCATAGCCACATTACAATTGTCATTATAATTGTCGCCGCCCCATATGTCTATCACTCGATCATTCTTAATCAACTCAACGCATTCTTTAATGAAGAATTTTTATTTTTTATTTTTTTACTTTTCATTCTTGTCTTCGGTGAAAAAATAGGCTATTTACAATGTTTAAGGGAGAGAATGCATGTTTTTCACTTTTTTTTTTCTTTCTTGCTGTTGTAAATTTTCATCTTTTAAACTTTTGTGCGTCGACTTATTATAATCCACAGCATTTATTTTTTCTTCTTTTTCTTCGTCTTTTTTGCTTTGCTTTTTCTTTCTTTCTTTTTTTTTTTTTTTTTTCTTTTCCTAAAGCATATATCAAAATCTATAGGTTTGTTAGCGATACGTGCGTATTTGCGTACGGGTGGAAGCTTTGGAGAATAAAAACCTCTAGACTTTCCGTGAGACTTTTTCTTTTTTTCCTTTAGTCTGCTTATATTATTTTTTTTTATGGGCAATCTAGCACATCAAATTGTTACGTTAATTATATGTAATTTACATGATACAAAAACACTAATTGTCACATTTCTTGACTACTATACAGTCTGTACTAATATATACAATTTTATATAGATTGATGTCTATATCAATATACTTGTTTTTTTTAAAAAAAAAAAAAAAAAAAAAAAAAAAAAAAAAAAAAAAAAAAAAAAATAAATAAATAAATAAACAAAATAAAAGAAAAAAAGAAAATAAAACAAGTACATTTTTATTTTCACAGATTAATTTACCATTGATATTTTAATTTCTTATGACTAATGTAAACAAAGAGCGTTCGATTATTCGAATGAAAATAATTATCTAAATTATTGCCCATAATTATTTGGTTCATCACATTTAGTTTAATTTTTAGACGTCTATTCGTTCCATTAGTTATACGTGTATTTACAGTACATAAATTATTTTTGTGCTCTCTATGTGTTTAAGCGTTATGTAATTTCTTGTTCTATTTAAGGTCCTATTTTAGGATACAAGTTTTGTCAATATTTAAACGTATTTTCGATCAATTATGCAGAAATTTATATCACTGATTCCTGTTATATCGATCAAGATCGTTTCTAACAGTATTGATGTTGTTAATGTAACATTGATAATGTTAAAACAATTCCCATAAATTGAACACCGTACGAGTGATTTGTTTTTAAACAATATTACTGCAGATATAATAGAAGAAGAAATCGTACACAGAAGAGAGACGAGATATCATATTTTTATATCTTATTTAGTATTTTATAAGTTTTTTTTTATCAATGCGGACGGGGGAAACGTTATTTATTTTAACGAAGTAGGATTTTCGCATTTTTTTTTGTTTTGTTTTTTTTTTTTAATATTGCGAAACTTTTAATAAATCAGTCGGCAAAGGTTAAAATTGATGAACGATATATAATTATTTAGTGTATGAAAAGTTTCTTTATGTATTACAGAGATAAATATATAATAATTCGGTTTATTCTTGCAATGTACACGTATTGCGTGTTAAAAAATTTCCAAATGTTTCTTTTATTATCAAAGACGAATATGAATTTACGAGCTTATAATCTTCATATTAATTTATATTATTTCTCGTATACGTTCAATGTAACTGATAAAAGTTATTTAATAGAATAAAATAAGGGATAATAGTTTATAATAATGGGTAGTTCCGACTGAATTATAAAAGGACTTTTTTCCGTTAACTTAATATTTATTGACTTTCATTAAAAATGGAATTATATTGTAATTAGCGAGTATTAAATTGAAAAGTAATTAATAGTTTAGTAACTTTCATAAATTATTGCATGGAATCATTAATGTAAAGTCGTTAGTAACTATTTTGGTGTTACAGTACTTTTGCAATGCTAGATGTTTAAATTAAAAATTAGATTAGAATTTTTGTATATCTATCTATATATATATATATATATATATATAATCATAACTATAATAATTTTCAAAGAAAAAAAATATACAAAAATTAATTCTACTTATGCTTAAAGTCACAAAAATATAATTATACACTTCATTCTTACTTATTATTCGAGGTTGATAAAAATATGAAAATTTGTATATCAATTAGTTGGTATATGTGTGAAAAATAAATCGTATTTTTTTAAGTTAATGGATTGAACATTATAAGTAATATAATTGTAAATAAGCAAATGTTTAAATAAACATGTGGATCGGATTATAAAGATTGAAAGTATTTATTCAGCTTCACATACGCGTATAATAATTAGCAGTTATGACGTATTGATTATAAATTGTGCCACGAGAACAAAGTTGTATGCGATTGCTGAAAAAATTCTTCCTTGAGCGAGATTTCACTGCTAGGCATTTGAGACACTTTTTTTTCTTTTTTTTTTCTTTTTTTTTAATTTACATACAATAATGCATAGCGCGCAAAGCTACATTCACGTATTATCTAAATTACATCATCCACGTTTGCATTGCCATTATAATCACGATCGTCATTATCTTAAGACATAGAATAGTAAAATATTCGATTTCTGTCCTGGTAGAACTTAAAAAAAAAAGAAAAGGAAATTTACATTTTAATTTTCTTTTTTTCTTCTTCTTTTCATTGAATTCTAAATTTATCGACTAATTTCTCTTTCAAGACAGATCGAGAAAAATCATGAAATGTCTTGAAGCCATTTTCCCCATTTGATATGCTACACGAACACTTGCTTACAAAACGCGTGATTGATTTTTTAATTTTTCATCGCTTTTTCAATCTTTACGTATGCATCAGTCGTAATTATTTTTATTTTGTTTGTTTTTCTTTAATTTTTTTATTTATTTATTTTTTTGTTGTTCAATTTTCGAAGTTGCGTATGAAAAATTTTCGGAAACTTAACTTAAATTAGTCAGTTATTTTAAAATTAAAATTATATTTAAAAGCATTAATGTGAAGAAAATTGATATATGATAGTATAGCATATGTATTACGCCCTAAAGAATATCAATAAATTAAATTGCTTATGCAATATAGTTAGATTATATAAATTAATAGTTATTCGTCATATGTGATATGAAAGATTTCTTTTACCGGGAAAAAGTCTTCCATGAAAAAAAATATGCAAATTATAATAATACGCAACGAGCATAGACGGTATTTCGTTTAAATAATATTTATAATTTTACTTTTACGGGTGAAAAGTTGTGAATTAGATTAACTCGCATTCTTATTTAAATAATTTTTTAGCCATTCATCGATCATATCCGCATTTTCCTTAACCCAGTGGATATTGAACTTTATCGTTTCAAGACTTTGGTCCAGCATTCTTTGGCCACTACCCACGTCCACATCCTTAAAAAACTCCTTCACCTAAAAATAATATTCGCATTATTTATCTTTTATAAAGACTCGTTAATCTTAAATGACATAATAATTAAATATAGTTGAATATAATTGGCCGAATAAAATTTTTACAGTCGTCAACTGCCATTTGTAATTAATCGTACTTATCGACGTCACATTGTCATGTCATTGTGACAGCCATTCGACATACCTTATTTCTTGGCAGTCACATTAAAGCCAATTATTGCATTTAGATGAAATTACTATGCATATAGGAGCATTCGATCATTGCGCGTGTTTTTATTAGTTGTGAAAATATAGATTCAGTCTTTTGACAATTATTTACATTTGTCCTACACTCTCAAAGTATAAAAAATACCCAACGTATAAAAAATCAAAGAAAAAGATGAAAAAAGAAAAGGATAAAGAAAAAATTAAGCACTGTTCGTTACTTAATATATTGCTGGTAAGCAATAATTGCGAGCTGATTAATAGAAGCTAAAGCAAATGATTAATTCGGCTATCTTGAGGCGAAGCTTAAAATTTAATAGCCGTAAAGAAGCGTTAAAATAGTCGCTTTAAAGGTTGATCAGGCTTAATGTGGTTTTCCGATCAATTGCTTTCCGATTGCTTTAGCAAAAGTAGGAAATTTTTAAACGAGCTCTTGGCAACTCGATCATACCTCTTGGTAATCGTACTCGGTGAAAAAGTCCGAGGTAACAACGTGAATGAGCCCGCCCATCGTGAGAGATCCATTACCAAAGAGACCTTGAATGTGAGGCCAGTGGGCTTTCAAATGCCTCCAGGCTAGTAATTTTCCCTCGGGATTTTTCGCCACCGCGGCTATCACTGTCTCCACGTCCTGAGGTCTGACTTGACTCCTGTCCAATGTCTGCAGCAGGTACCGCTGGAGCAGCCAGGGGTCCGTCGTCGCTCCCAAGGCCTGAAGCATAATGCGCTTCTCACTGGGGAAGGGGGTCTTGCGGTACGTTTCCCAACAAAATTTCCACTCAGTTTCACCGCTGAACTTCACGCCAGCGGCGTACACGACGTCCCGAATGTTCGGTGCTATGCTATTGGATCGAAGCATCCAGTCGTCGAAGAGAACCTTCGCGGGCTTCACCACTGACTCGAGCTGCAGATTCACAGCCGACTGGAGCACCGAGATGCGGAGTAATCTGAAATACATTGGAGTCGTTGATTAAGGTGTCGGGGCGGGGGGATTAGATGTTAGATGGTTGGTTGGGTGGGTGGATGGAGGGAATGAAGAAGTTAGAATAGAATTGTGAAGAGAATGTAATTGTAATTGTGACGAGGAAGATAACAAACTTTTTCAAGTGCGATCCCTCGTCGCTCCATCCGACATAATTTGTAACGGGAGTCAGCAGCTTCTTAAGGAATATGATGTAGAGCTTGTAAGCCGAGCTTTCGCTTAGCTTTTCCTTCCACGAGTGTAGATAATTTAGGGCCGTCGCCCACGGCACGTAATCCCTCTCGTTAAGTAGATAAAGCGAAAGCTCGAGAGGTATCGATGCATTGAGTTCGCCGGCTTTACAAAGCGTGAAAGCATCGTCGATAAGATTTGCTCGGTCCGCTGGACTGAACTTGGTATGGTCGGTGAGGAGAGTTTGAATTATCGAAGACCACATTTCGTCCGGATACGAAACCCGATAGAAACCCGTCTGGTTGACATTACATTTAATGTACTCCACCTCGGGTGGGATTTCAAACGTCACTGTAAACAAACAATATTGTTAATATTATGATATAATAATAATTTTTATTATTACTATTATTACTATTACTATTACTATTACTATCAATTATTATTATTATCTTGTGTCGTTTAATCGTTGGTCATTATTTTAAGGGTAGTTTCTTTCTTTTCTTTTTCTTTTTTTTTTTAATAAACGTAAAGGTAATTACCGTCAGTCATGTTCATCCATACATTCTGAATATCTTTAGGATCTTTACTAGTGTAGTAGCTTAATGGTATGTACCACTTGTAGTTGAATGGAGATTTTGATTCGAGTACTTCGGTATCGTTATCGTGAGAAGATACGAGAAAGCGTTTTTGCGACGCGTTAATTAGATTTCCCTCTCTCGATATTGTTATTAAAGGGAATCCAGTTTGTTGTGTCCACGTGTCCATTATGGCCTATAAAAATTACATTGCATTCGATAAGCGTAAATGTTTAATATATTCAATCGCAAGAAGGAGATATAAATCGATGACGCAGATTAAGTTTCGTGAAATTCATATAATTACTAGATATAATTAATTTCTTATATCTTTGACGAATTTTTTTTTTTTCTTTCTCTCTCTTTTTTTTCTATTATTTGTCATTTCAATTAAACAATATCAATAACAATCTTATAATGATTATTTCATATGGTAAATATATTCTTTTTCTTATCTTTCCCAAAGACTCGCACAGTCTTATTTTACAATCGAACGTTATTAAGAGCGTTTTTCCTTACCGAAAGCACATCAGTATTCAATTATTAATAGTCAAGTGAATTGTAAAACTAAATTTTACAAAAAATCAATTGGATAGTTTGTCGCGCGAATAGGGCTTTACATCGTAAATTAACTTGGGGTCTGAGTGGGGATTGATTAGAAACTTCCAAGTTCCGTAATTCTCACCTTCACGTCGAAAGTCCGATTAACGTGTTTGGTAAAAACCGCCCACAAATCATTCGTATCGGCGTTCCCATAAGCGTGGCTTTTCAAATAATCGTTAAGCCCAGCCTTGAGTACATCCTCGTAAATAAATCCTTCGAGCATATATAATATAGAGGCTCCTTTGTTGTAACTAATTGTGTCGAATATGGCTTCGATCTCCGCGGGATCCTTTACCGGCACGCTAATCGGATGACTACTTGCTAAAGCATCCAGGTCCAGAGCTGGTTGAATCTTGTCAAGGATGAACTGGTCCATCATGCTCCATTCCGGTGATATGAAGTTGACCCCTTTATACTCGAAGAAGCTCGCGGCGCCTTCGTTCAGCCACAGATCCTTCCACCATTTCATTGTCACGAGATTGCCGAACCATTGATGAGCCAGCTCGTGAGCGACAACCACAGCTACCCATTCGTGGGCGGCTGTTGACGTTTCCTTAGGGTCGTAGAGGATCGAAGTTTCGCGGTAAGTTATTAATCCCCAGTTTTCCATAGCTCCCGCTGCGAAATCCGGTATGGCTATCAAGTCTGTAAACGTGATAAATAATCGATCGATCGTTCGGTATATCGAACACAATAATAGAGGACGATATTTTCTCAATGTATTTTCATTCGATCAGCTTCTTTCGTGCGGCGATTTTTAACTTAAATAAGCCGCGCCAAGATGCCAATATATAAGTATCAGTTAAATGCAATATATAAAAAGTAATTATTTTTCATTTGTAAACTAGCGATTGAATTTCTTAAATTCATCCAATTTTCCACTATATATATATATATATATATATAAATAATAATAATAATAATAATAATCAAAGCTAATATACTTTGCTATAAAGATTTGAGCAGACTGTATAAACACTTTCGATCAATCGTTAATTAATAATAATGGAAAATAGCGATTCTTTATATATATATATATATATATATATATATATATATATATATATATATACAGTCTGCTAAATATGTACATTATTATTATTATTATTATTATTATTCACCCCCAAGCTCTCAATTTTTCTACTTTAATATTATTCGTGGACATAATTGAACGAAAGCTTACCCAACTTAGGTAGTGGATATTCAGCCCCGAAGAAGGACTCAAAGTAATCCATCGTCTTGGCTGCGGTTTTAACAGCGTAAGTGGCTTGTGGCAACATCGTTTCGGCTGCATAAACGCTGACGCTGACATTGCGTCGCGTCATCTGCGAGACGCGCTTGAAGTCGCAGACAACAAAGGCGACGAGGTACGTCGACATCTCCACGGACTCTTGGAAGTCGTCGCGCAGCTGCGAAAAGTTGGTTGCCTATCGTGAGACTAGTAAAATCGTGATTCCGACCAGCATCTCAGTGACGGATATCGGATGCTTCTTGATAACGACAAATCTCCATGTCTTAGGACGTCTGGCTAATCGACTTTATCTTTCAAGCGAGCTAACTTTATTGCATTGATTTACATCGGTCTATGAGTAATTTATACGAACTATATATATATATATATATATATATATATATATATATATATATAAAGAATCGCTATTTTCTATCCCTTGAATAGTTAAGATGATTGGAAATTGATATTTATTTTAGGATTATCTGTAGGTCAACGTATTGGCAATTTGGTATTTTAGAGAAAATTGTGAACTTGCATTATACATAAATCGACTACGAATGACAAAGTTCTTTAATTTATTTCGCAGGACTGCCAATAGGAACAGCCAAGACTTCTCGAATTCATAGTCGTCTAAGTAGCTTGAAACGTGCTTTATTAATGTAACTGTCATACGTTTCATCTCTCGGTAATGCAAAAGCTCTACTCACAAGTCCAGTACCCATGTAGAATCCAGCGTCCTCGGTGTTGACGACCGGCATGTTGCAGAGTGCAATGTGAAATCGGTCCCGGAATATCGACACTTTGAATTTGGCTTTGAAGTGCGGCTCGTCAAAGCAGGGAAACGCCGAGCGAGCGTAGGTCGGCTCGAAGTGCGTCGTTGCCAGGTATCTGTGACCGTTGAAAAAGCTTTTACACAAATTAAAATTTCATCTGTATGAGTCATGAATGAACAACACGAACAACATTGCAACGTATTTTTACCTAAATACAAATAAAAAAAAAAAAAGAGGCGTACATTAATGATGCTCGCAAAACTGAAATGTTTTATAATAGAAACGTAATATATAAGTACAGAAATACATACATACGTTCATGCAAGTAAAATTATTCATTATAAAAAGCATTGCGTTGAAGTATGAGTTTTATTGTAAAAGATTTTTCCAATATTTTTAATGTTTTTAAGTGTTTTTATTGGATGCTGGTTACTTTTTTTTATTGGATACTAAATTAGTCTCAGTTATATACTTTTTATCGTTAATCATTTTTATGAAATTCATTTTTAATAGAAAAAAATTCAATGCCAAATATTTTATACTTTGGCTCTTTGTAATCTTCCAATACGAGTCGAGAAGAACAGACTTCAATTATAATTTTGATAATAACTGAGAATAATAATATAATAAAATAAACAGTTACTGTAAATTACGATTGACTAAAATTCACATCGAACTTCATAATTAATATGCTAAGACAAAGATAATTTATGAAATCAATAGTATGAGTAAAATACTATTTTTCATATTTTACGCGACACAATTATTAATTTTTCTTATGAAAATATCTCAAGTCTTTAGAATTATCAAAAATTAGGCCTAATGCGTTCACTCAATTTTAAGATGAAGAAATTAATTGTCTCAGATTTAAAAATATAACAATGGATCTTAAATTTTTGATATCGATGACGATTAATATCATTATTTATACATCACTAAATCATTTATAAATTTCAATAAAATTTCGCTATAACTTGTCGTCTTTTTTTTTTTTTTTTTTTTTTTTTTTATAATTAACGAATATACTATATTAATGAAATTAATAAATTAAATAATTTGACGGGCAATGTCGTAAAATTAGCAAGCAGTTGTTAATTAGCCGTCGCCACGGTTAAAACTGTGAAATTGAAGAAGGGACAGGAGGTAAAGAAAGTCCCATAATCGTCAGCCCCATGGCGACCCGAGTGACCATTACTCGCTGGTCGCGATTAAAGAGGAGGATGTAAATATTCAATGCAATTGAGGTTTCGTTAATAGCGCTGCAGCCATTCGACTAATTACCGATACGCGCGCTTAGGGAAAACGGGGAAGGTCGAACAATTGTAAAATCGTTGGTCACAGCTGGGAACGAGTACAACAAGTGCGGTACGGCAATGGTCTTTTCAATCAATAGTCGCCAAGTGATTGTGGCTTCGATCGCAATGCCCTGTATCTTCGAGATGGAATTAAATTGCTTATCATTCTCTCTCAGAATCTCTCTCTCTCTCTCTCTCTCTCTCGTTCTCGCTCTCGCTCTCTCACACTGCTACTAGCCGCAGTCATTCGAATTGCCATCGATTATTACCTGGAATATGCCGACTCTTACGTCCCCAGCAATAATACAACAATTGTCACGTGACACGAAAATTCAATTTATTTATATTTTCTTTCGTAACGGCTTTATGGCTATACAAGAATCACATGTCTTTAGCATTGAATGTATATTATCAATAGACTTTTTACTTTATTACGATTAGCACAATTAATCTTTAGAATATTAGGCTATTAAGGCCCATTACGTATCGATAAGTTATACCACACAATATTCTATTAAAAAACATTTGCAAATATCACTATGCTGAAAAGGTACGTTGAAAAAATTGTAAAATAAAATGTCAGGTGGCTATGTTAAACGACCGTTTAATGATAAAGTATACTTTAGACTTATTTTCCTACATTTATAATAATCTATAATTTTCTCTGTATATATAATAATTCGAATCCTTTAATATAAACATCCGGATTATATATAAAAATATGAAAAAGGAACGTAATATAAAAACGGACATTGGATATTATTTAGATATCTAATTAAATTTCCTTCGTATTACATTATGCAAACATGAAGAAAAAAGAAAATCCATTACTTAAAGTATAAACAAAGGCTAATTAAAATTCCTAGAAATTAATTGATAGTTGATCTTAATTGAATTATTGAAATATAATTGGAGATTGAATTGTTAATTTTAACGATAAAAATGCACACGTGAAATAAATTTAATAATTATATATTATAATAATTATTAATTATTTAGTAATAATAATATTTTTGTATAAACATTCATATGACATCGCAATCAATTAAATATTTTACGAAAATTTATTTATATATATATATATATATATATATACATTAGTTATTACAAATATTTTTATAAAATTAATTTTGTATATTCTCTCTAACTAATTGTGTCTTTATTGAATATTTATTCCGAGTGCAAAAATACATTAAAAGTATAAAGCATTTTATTAAATAAACTATTTATGGTTTAAATATTGCAGTATTAATAGTATTATTAATATGTTTAATTTTTATAGGAAGTTCATATATAGTATTAATCATATGTATAGTAATAAAATATTAGTTAGTATCAATTTTGATGAATTTTGATTATTATACAAGTATCAAGTAAAAAAATATTTATATAAATAGACAATCGAGTAAAAATTGAATGTAATAAAAAAAGTTCAAGCCGTCACAAATAATAAATAGCTTATTATTGTTATAATGAATATAATCGTAATATAGTTAAAAAAAAATTTAGTTTCATAATGAAAAGTTGATTGAAATATTGTCAAGTTGATAATTTATTATTTGAATTCTGTATAAATTAATTAACGAAATTACATTCACATACGAATATTTGAATTATAGATTGAAAATAATTCTCACGAAATTGATGTTTTCTGAATATATGAATTATATTATCGTATAACAAAATAAAAAGTATATTTGTTCCTTGTTTAATGAAGTATATGATGTAATAGATATTCCTTGTCATACAAAAATTTCATAGAAACTACCCAAAGTTCGAATTTTAATTTTAATTTTAATTTTTACATAATTATATTTTCTCATTTTAATTGTAAAATAAAGATCAGATGCAAAATTAATGTTTTTAGAGAATCGATTATACTAATTAGCAATGAATTATTAGACTTATTTTTATTTGAATTAATCAATAAAATTTTTATATAAAACTAGTCAATTATTATTTATAATGATAAAATATGGAACTGCAAGTTGATGTTTGTGCATAGAATTATATTATGAAATGCATATAAAATAAAAATACAGCATTCATATAAAATAAAATTTTTTAATTAAGCACACACACACCTACACACGTACGCACGTACATTAATACGATTAATATGATGAGTTATGTATATGTATATGAATACACGCACGCACGCACGCACGCACGCACGCACGCACGCACGCACGTATATGTAAGTCAATTTGATATGTAGAAACATTTATTCTTGTAAACGCATGCAGCAAAAAATAATGATACCGACATTCTGTTATTATTATTTAAATATTGACAAGTAATTTTTTGTATAATAATTTAGTACCTTTTTTCTCCGTTGGAATTCACATAGCTGCTGAGATAGAAGCCCTCGAGCTCGTTTTTGAGTTTCGAAACGAACCTCAGATGCACTGTGTAGTTCCCTCTTTTTCGAAATTTGCTCTCTTCGAGCTCGAGATAAAGTTGCTGATGCTTTGGATATTCCAAGAGTTTCGCAATCTTTAGTCTGTGGCCCTTTCGATCTTGCACCATCTTTGAGTAAATCAATATATTCATGAGTTTTGTGCGTTTTAATGTAATTTATGTAAGTTAATGCGATAGCAAAAAGAACATTACCTTTTCGTTTATTGTCAAATTTTTACTATGGAAGACGATAAAATTGGTCTCTCGATCAACGTAAAACTCGATTGTAACTTGTCCTATGAATATTATCATGATTAATAATCGCTAGTTCAGGATTTATTCTTTTACATGATTTTAATTGCAATTTATGTTTACCTTTAACTTCCAATGTCGTGAGATTCGGATGGATCGTAATGTTATAACGCGTCGGGTGAGCGAAATTCGGTAGTCTGACATTATCCCATGGGAAGATCTAGTACAATTACAACAAGTGTATTCATTAATAATATTGTTATTCTATAAAATAAACTTACAAGTGAAATTTCTAAAGCATAGTTGATAACCACAAAGGCGTCGGCCGTTTCAGATGTATAAAATATGAGAGATAAAATCAATTAGATTTAATATTCTTAAATTAAAAGTAAAATATTGAAGAAAGAAAATAATAATCAAGTTTTAGTACAATTATTAAAATGTTTATATATTGTACAAAACTTTAATAAAATGTAAATGTTTTATATTACTTTTAAAGACACTTTGTGCACAGAGGATAATGAAATAAAACGAAACAGAGGTATAGTTTACAGAATATTTATACGGAGCAGTAATTAGTGCAGTGATAATTGAATGTAAAATTAAATTTTAAAGTCAGGCTTAAAATATTTTATATTTTTTTACACTATTTGGGATATAAAATTTATGTGAACATCCAAACGATTTGTTTCTTCATTAATTTTGTAAAAAACGTGACATTTAATTAAATTTTTTCTTGAATGATTTATGTTTATTAATATTGCCGAGTATATAACGGAATATAATGATTTTTAATCATAAAGGAAATATAATAATCAATAACCGCTATTATTAATAATTATCTATTTATTGCAAACGAATAGCAATTAAGCGGAGAATTGAATTAAACAAAATACCATTTATTTTTCCACGTTCTGATTTATTGCATAATATTAGTATGCCACATAAATGCCAATATGCAAATGTATCGGAGTAGTCGATGATCAGTACATTGCATATCAATGTTTGTGAATGGCAACATTTTTTTTTTTTTTTTTTTTTTTTTTTTTTTTTTTTTTTTTTTTTTTTTTTTTATTTAATACGAAGTGTTCGAGCTTATGGAAACGAATAATAACGAACGAAACGATCGGAGAGCCGAAAAATTTGAATAAATTTATATCGACGCTTACGGAGTCATGTCCTTATTCACGAGGTATCGGGGGAGGGGGTGCCGCGCAAGCTTTTGTTAAATTCGTCGTATGGATCATCGGGCGATTAAATCGAGTATGGCATAATAGGAATATTCGAGAGAGGTAAGTACGTTGATAGGCTCGTAAAATCAGGGGTTGGAGATTTAGGTGGCGGCGAGGTAGATATGGCAAGGTAGATGGAGTAGGGAAGGGCAAACACGCGGATAAGTCACGAGAATAAAAGCGAGCCAAAGTGGCTGGAGCGCCTGGCGATTGATTTATCGGCGAGTGGCTGCGTCTGCCGGGAAGATTTTTAACGGCTGAGTGTCAACTCGGTATAATCAGCCAGTGCGATCGTCGGTAATGTGCACTCGCTCGATTTAAGCGTTTGTACGTGTAAGAGGCGGGAGAAGCTTTGTTTGTTTTCATTGAGCGCATCCCATCAGGGGATATACGATTACGGTTATCGCGAGCTTTTCTAACCAAAGTCCGCGACTCCGCTCCGGGAGTTAACAGTTAAGTTCTCTTCTAGTGTACTCGACACATCGGCTTCATCGCTACTATAGAAAGTTGAAGTACATTGAAGGGAGAATCGTCGGTTTTTCAATGCTCGTACTTTACAGTGCGGATAGTTCAACTCTTTTTATTCAAAGAAGAAGTTTAATGTCCACTTTTACGTGTGATTGTGAGTTTTACCAATGCATCGTATTACTTATAAATCAGCAGCGTTGTTAAAATTGAGAGAAGAAAGTCACGGAATTCGGTGTAAATATGGTTGAAAGTTATTTTCTTTTTTTCTTTTTTTCTTTTTTTTTTTCTTTTTTTTTTTTTTTAACCAACCAACAAGAGAAGCGGCCTCGTACCGACGTTAAAATTATTTAATTAATGGTCCTAGACGATATTAGAATATTCTCGCTCATTTCATAAATACAAAGTTAATACCCGAATATTTTTCACGTTATAAAAGCGTCTCTCGAAAGCCCAAGACTCTCGTTATTAAATCATATTTTTCACGACGAGATATTTATAATACTACTTGCTAAAATTTTGCTATTAATTTAGAATGTATGCGTAGACAAAATTAAAAATAAAATTAATTACTCGAACCTGTCTGGCGTTAAATAAAAGCGCATATTTAATAGAAATGAATAATGAGGAGCGCGGCAGGACGAGTGGAAAATATACAGAACAATTATGATTTTGCATATTGTGTTATTTAAAGAGGGGAAAGTCTACGCTGATTAATAAGATTGTGAAAAACTTGGGGGGTAAATACTAACCTCACCGTTGGTCGCGATTGGTTCGCTACCTTCCTCATCCTCTTCGATTTCCAAGTTCGCTGGCTTTTCTCCAGCGCAAGGGCAGTCTTTAATAAATAAATAAAAAAAAAGATGAAAAAACGACATTAATTGTTCTTCCTTTTATTCGATGATTATGAAATAAAAATGAAAGATGGGTATATCGTGATCTATGTACGTTGCTACCTTTTGACGATAATTTTACGGAGCTGCTGAGCTTTAAGTGTGCAAATAAATTGGACAAGCTCACACCTTATTATCTTCATTTTTCATTTATGCTTAATCGAGCATTATAGAGGCGTATTTTAATCAAATTGAGTAATGATTAGTGAAGTGTATACATTGTTATAATTATGCACACTCAACATGAAATGAAAATGTCAATAGATAGACTTTATTTGGCAATTTTTACGATACAGTTATAAGATGTGATATTAAAATTGCTTTTAATACTTTTAATATAAACTGTAAAACCATTAAAATGCTATTACTGAATATTATTAAAAAAAGATCTACTACATTGAAGTTGAAAATCTGAAGCTTTTAAAATCATCGCTAATTTATCATATTATTTTATGAGCTGAATTACGATATTTCTATTGCTAATTTCTTAAAAGATTATACTTATATATAGATTAATTTATTTATTAATATATATATATATATATATATATATACAGATTAATAATAAGTTTCCGTAATTCGTAAAAAGGCACTTTAAATATTTTCGACTAATTATATATACAGGACGAGACAGACGTACCAGTAATCAATTAAAATAATATCTTCGCAAGAGGAGCGACATTTATTTATTTATTTATTAAATTAACGTGGCTTTATCGGCGCTATAATATGCTCGTGTATGGTCCTCTTTAATAATTCGCGAGGCTCATATTTCAAAATTTTCATTACAACATCAATCATACCCGAGAGTGACATATTACAAGCGAAATATGTACCGCCGTTTTCGAATATTCGCACAATTACAAAGTCACGCTTTCAACCATACCGTAGCGCGCACATTTATTATAATAATTCATTACAATAATATTATTTCCCATCGCCATTACCTACCATCTTCAAAATCATTTGCATTCGCATATTGGCGAGTTCAACGGTACACCTACCATTTTGTGGTCCCGCGAAAGCAATGATGAGTGATATGGCGAAAAGTGTCGCGAATACGACTGTGGCGATGCAAAGGGCCCGTTTTTGCGAGCACACAGCCACGCCATTCTGCTCGTAAATGTTGCGCTTGTGTAAGCCCGGGTTGCTTTCACCTGGAAAAGACGAAGTTTCATGCATTAAATATGTGACAAGTCATTATCCTCCTTTACATTTTAACTTGCTCTGACGTTTTTTCGATTTAAAAGAGAAACAATGCTCTGTCGAACAATTGAAACTCGAATGAATGCATTTTGCTTTACGGTACATCTTTAGTATATTGAATTGAATATTAATTGATTGAGTGAGTGAAGTGGAATATTTGCATTTAATGAAAGTTCTAAAATGTAGTTTATTATGTAGACATTTATGGACTGCCAACATTTTTCTCTTGATTCTTTAAAAGATATTATGATATGTATCACTACGTATCATAATTCACATATAATTCATGTCCATAATTTTATTTCAATAAAGCTTTGAGACAATTATTCTTTAATTTCAATTGTAATTACTTTTAATTTCAAAATGCTCCAATCCGCGTCTTGGCTGCTTTGTCATTAAAGTATAATTTGCGGAGACATTTTAATAATGTTAAAAAAGTTTTATACTCATTATTCTAACAAGTTCGAAATTGATATTTTCATATTTTTTCTTCTTATGTTACGGCTTCGCTTCATTGTCAATAGAAAAATGCATCATTTATTATTCAAATTGAAACAGTTGACGTAATTTTATGAATATTAATATGAATATTTTTCGAATTAATTAGGATATTTATTTTAACATAGAATAAATATTACAATAAAAGCACTAAAATATGAAATATACTATCCTCTGTCAATTTCAATATGTATTATGCTAATAATTTATTTATAGAATTTTTAGCAAATTAATTAATCATTTATATTATGTGAGCGTAGATATATTTTACCTCAAATTAAGTGAGACTGTAGAGATGCTATTGCTTACGGAAAATGTGTTGAATTTTCCTTTTTCTTAATGGATACATTTTATTTCATTTCGTTGGTTTGGAATTTATTGTAATATTCTTTCCAATAACATAAATTAATATTTATAATAATAGCTTAACATTGCTAGTGCAAAATTCCATTTTTCAATTTAAAATATCACGTATTTTTTTCTACGATATTACAAAAAAAAAAAAAAAAAATACGATAAAGAAATTTGTACTTTGTACTAAAATCATGAAAACATTGATATGAAAAATTAAATACGATATATTTAATACAAAAATATGTGTATGCGGACCAATTTCGTCTGAGTGGATGAGTTATGCAATATAAAAAGATAAACATAACAATACGTTTTAAAATATTTTAATCCACTTTAATATATGGAAAATCTAGAAATATGACGTTCGAGATTATTATAATAAGAAATTTGCTAAATAGGACAACTAATTACAGGTATTCTATTATTTTTTAATCAATCATATATTATTATAATACTAATGTCAGATAAATATTTGAAAGCATTTTATTGTGCATAAAATTAACAAAAAAATTTATATAATCATTAGGAAAATCTATAGGAAATTATTAAAATTAAGTTGTTAGTTTTAAATGATTTGTTTATAAATAACTCAACTATCAATACAAACAATATTAAAACTACTTTTTATTACAGCTATATATATATATATATATATAGTTATAGCATTATATGTATTATTTAAAGCTTATCAATGTCGTTAATTATCGTGTTTGACAGATGTAAGTATGGATGTTTGTATACTTCTAATGAAATAAATTTTAATTCTGAAAAAAATATTATTTTTGTTTTTTCATCGCCATATGTCAGATTCATTCGAGTTTGGTTGAAGCGATATCAATACAATTAATCAATTCAGCGAAGACAAATAGGAAATAAAAATATTTGATAACTTGTCAATATTTATTATTTTTCTCAAATTAGTGTCACACATATCTTTCCTTTTCAATTCTTCTAATAATACTAATACATACGTAAATTAAAAAAAAGGTTTTTGTTCTTTTTTTTTTTTTCTTTTTTTTTTAAACTTGTTTAAAGCTTATTAAGCTACTTACCCAATTCAATTTAATCTAAATTTAGAACTTGAGCTATTTAAAAATAAGTAAAATATCGATGTAAATGTTTCTTGTACAAATTTTAATTATTACATTCTATCAGTCTATACAAAGTTCTAGAAGATACTTTCCAACAATCATGATAGATAGATAATATTATAATTCTATATTAAATAATGCACATTTAAAATACAATAAAACGATATATAAAAATAAGCCAGACAAGTAACCTTTATACATTAAGTTTCCCTAAAGCTCCGAGGAAACAACCAAATTCGTTATGTTCCACATTACGTTTGCTTGGTAACAGTAAACTAAAAAAGAATATTATAGCGGGTAAGAAAAACTGTGACATTGCAGTTGATAGGCAGAGCGGCAAGGCGGACAAGGAAGGAGTGAGAGTGAGAGAGGCGCCTTTATGGCGTCTTCTTCGACATGCGGAGCTTATAAAGAATTTCGCGTCGCACCCTTTCGCTGCCGTCGCTCTGCACAACTTCTCGACCTCGATTCACGAAGGCGTTCACACGCACTTCCATTCGAATCATTTCGGTTTGATGATCGTACATACGTTTGGTCTAGGCTCAAATTAGTGCATTACTGCTTTTTTTTTTTTTTTTTTATTTTTTTTTATTTTTATTCTATTTTCGGACACGTGAATACGGCATACATGTAACAATACGTAAGCATTAATGACAATGAGGTTGGGTAACCTTTGAGTTTATTATGCACCTGTTTTTATTAGCTAATGGCGCAATACATGAATTTCTATGCAAAATAGAGTCTCCAGTGGTTTATCACATAGTATTTGATTGGTTTTCAATCGCACGAGCAAGATTTTGTTTGTATGTTATACAAATTGAATTTCACGAAAGTCCAATGAAGATACGAAGACCATTGACTCTTTAAATATCAAAATTATTTGATAAAATGTTTTTAAATTTTTAAACTATATTTCTAAGAATTTTTACGAATTTTTAGTTTGACCTTCTCATTAGATATTATATTAATATTATCTGCTTATCTTTCTAAAATAGATGATTTTCTAGAAAATCGTTTGAAAGTATAATAGAATATCGTATATAATACTTTTTAAAACAAATTAAGTACAAATACAATTTTTAACAAAAATCCATTTCTCAAAATATGATTGAAAAAACATAATAATAAGTATAATAATTTATTTTCGTTTCAAGTATTGAAATTGAAACTGAATATGCGATAAAAATTTAGAATATTGTAAAATAATACGTTTTGTTAAAATTTTATATAAATTTTTATAATAAAAATAATTTGAATGTAATCGCTTATATTAACTAACACGGCATTTCTAAATCTTTTCTGTATTTATCGTTAGTACGATAAACTAAATAACTTTAGTGTAAAAATTATAAATTTTATCGTGCTTTTGTTTTTCTGAATTACATTTAGGCGCTATTGTTCACATACACATAAACTTTACTATTTGTAAATGTTATATGAAGTAAATAAAAGTATAAGTACAATAGGTCAATGTACAAATAATTAAAAAAATTGCATGAAAAATTATTGAAGGAAGTCATGTAAATTTAAAGATGAGCGAAGCTTTTAATTTATTATATGTGGGTGTGCGCATCAGAGTAGCTATTTTATAAGCCGTAAATAAAAATATTTTTTGTATGTATGAAAAATTAATGAGTTAGGCTAAAAAGATAGGATAGAATAGGCGAGGGCAAAGGCTAAACAAATTTCCTTAAAAAATGTCTACAGAGCCAAGTTTGAAAGAGCGAGCGAGAGTGAAATTAAAAATGCAAATGCTATAATCAAAACTGGATTTTTACTTTATTTACTTTGGTATTTACTTTGAAAAAGCAGGTGAAATAGAACGACGAAGATGGGACGCTAACCTCGCGAGGACGTACAATCGTGCCGCTCACTGATAAAACCTAATAGATTAAAAGCTTTCCTTCTCTTTTCATATTGATCACGAGAAAACATGTGCTTAGAGCTAGGGAA